TTGGGTACAATAAAGGAGGCCAGAGGCCTGGGAACTATGTAGTTAAAACACGACGGGGATGAGCCTCCCCTCGGTTATCATGATCGAGCCAGTCATCCACCCCTGGCGGAGGAGTCCATAATCTGTGGAGACCAAGCGTGGAAGATGCCGCAAGTGCCGCCAGATGGTCAGCCGCGAAATTCCCCTCTCGGTGGAGATGCTGAATACGAACGCTCCAATCCCTATGCACTAAGCTCCGAATGGCTCTGACTAGTATCTCATGATTTCCAAAATGATCTTGTGGGCCCGTGATCATCTCCGTCACGCTCTGGTTGTCGACTTCCGCCACCACCTTCCTAAAGCCCCGCTCCCAGGCTAAGTCAAGGCCTTGGAATAGGCCCCACAATTCGGCCCCGACGATGGTACCTAAGCCAATGTTCATGAGAAATCCATCAATCCATTGACCGCGCGTCGCAACGCGGCAAAATTAAAATTTATATTTCCTTAACCGACTTCTACCAACTAGTAGTAGTAGTGAGCAAGGGTCGAACCCACAGGGAGTGTGAATCAAATTGTGAATTTTCTCGTATTAATTGAATTTATAAAAGCGATAAATGGGGGGATTGGGTTTTAATAATTAAACTAATTAAAAATCCTAAAAATATAAAGAAAGGAAATAAAAATAAATATAAAATAAATAAGAGAAATTTCTAGTTCACGGTTCCGTCTACACCCTCGACTGACTCGTCTAATAAATTCTGATATCAAATCTCGTTATCTTATGAAATTACTAGCCCTAGGCAACGACACGGTCTGTTACCCGAATTTTTCCTTATTTTTAATCTAACCGCGAGACGCTCTACGATTAGACCTGACTTCTTGTACAGTCTAGAAAACGCTTCTTAGATTTAATACAATCAGTCGATTTACGAATTAGAAAAATAGGCTAGACTAAGTAGTGACGCATTCGTTCACTTAAATAGGCCGTGTTATCCCCGGTAGTTACCATCTTCCGGTTACCTCTTATGAATTAAACTCAACAACAATTACGGATTGAAGATCTAATTCAGATGTAGATATGAAAAGCCTAATTTAGGTGATCAATCTAAATAAGACTCAACACATCATGGTTAATTATTCAAAATAACACAAACAATTCCAAAAAGATAACTCAATAATCAACCATAAATTAATCAAACATCGTCAAGTACGTAGGGTTCGACATCCTCGGAACTAGAAATAAAACCTACTCTAACATAATAAATAAAAAGGAAAAGAGAAGAATAGAGTTATCCTTCTCGTGTACGGGTGCGGTCTCCCTCCGCTTCTGTCGGATTCCTCGCGTTTTCCTCTGTCCGCTCCGTTCTCTCCTTTCTTGCGTGAATATTCTCTTTGTGATTAGCGGCTTTTCTTTTCTGCTCCCTGTTATGCCTCGCTGCGTTTTTCTGTTCAAGTATATATATATGTGGCGGCTTGCGTGTGTGGCTTCTCAAATTAAAATAAAATCCTCCAAAACCAAAGTCCCAGCAATTGCAAATTTTTCCCACGCAAGTCATTCTCTTCGGTGGCAGCAAAAGTAAACTCCAATCTTCCCAAGTCCATGTAATTGTACTTTTAGCCCAAATAATCTTTAAGTTCAGATTGCACTCTCCTTGGGCCCAATCTTTAATATCTTGGTCATTATTCATAATTACTCCAATGTCCTGAAATAAACCATAAATAAATATATCATAGCACATGAATCCATCTAATAAATAAATAAGTCAAAAAATATATAAGTGTAATAAAGTCAAGCATATAAAAATACGCTAATAAATATATAAAATACACACTTTTTTCGACTAATCATCCATTTACCGTCTTTGTTGCGAATCAGTCCCCCGGTACTGCATTGGCCCGAGTTACTGTCATAGGCCCCGTCCGTATTTATTTTAAGCCATCCCGGCTACGGAGGGAGCCATTTGATCATGTTGATGGTGTGCATTACCGCCCCAGCTCTCCGGTAGGCCGTAGCCGCCTTCTCATATGATTCCGATTTCCGGAGAATTTCCAGGTACCTAGACTCACAGCCCAAAGACCGATTGTTAAACAGGTGATCATTGCGCCATTTCCATGCGCTCCACATCCCAAAAGCAAATTTACCGTTCCAGTATATGCATGTTTTCCGGCCCAAATTTTCGGACAGCTCCAAGAGCCTTTTCAAGATCTAAATCAACTATGGCTATGTTTGGTAAAACTAGCTGATAAGCTAGCTGATAGCTGATAGCTGATAAGCTAGCTTATAGCTTATATGTAATTTTCTAGCTTATAGCTTACAGCTTATGACTTATAGCTGAAAAGCTAGATTATATGATAAAAGTGTTTGGTAAAATTAGCTTATAAGCTAGCTGGAATAAAAAATTCAACTAGCTTATTTGAAAAGCTACCTAAACAAGCTTATCAAATAAGCTCGAGCTTTTTAAATAAGCTCGTCCTACCAAACCAAACGGGGCTTATTTGAATACAAGAAGCTTATAAGCTAACCAAATAAGCTATAAGTTAGCTTATTTGGTTTACCAAACATAGCCTATATATATTGGGTTCTTGAAAACTTCATAATTATTCAGAGGTTTTAAGAGTATGTTTGGTAAGCCAAATAAGCTAACTTTTAGCTTACTCCACCACAAAGTGACCTAAAAAAGGTCTTGATCGAATTGGATGGTAAGGTTGTAAGATCATCACCAGGCTTGACTAATAAGTATCCCGCGGCATACACGACTTGAACATCCTTTTGAACATCCTTTTGAACATCCTTTTGAACATCCTTCACCATCACTGTTTCTAGATCCGCAACAATGAAGGGACGACACTCTTGGTTTAGAGTGTCACGTTGTTCTGGGGTATTTTTGGTTAGCTTATAAGCTCCCTGTTTAAAATAAGCCTCGTTTGGCAAGCTTTTTTAAAAAGCTCGAGCTTATTTCATAAGCTACTTTAGGTAGCTTTTCAAATAAGCTAGTTGAATTTTTTTATTTCAGCTAGCTTATCAGCTAATTTACCAAACACCTTTTATCATATAAGCTAGCTTTTCAGCTATAAGTCATATGCTATAAGTTATAAGCTCAAAAATTACATATAAGCTATAAGCTAGCTTATCAACTAATTTTACCAAACATAGCCTAAGTCCACAACAAATTATAGAATCCAACTGTTGTACTTTCTGTAATAGAAATCAATACTATTTTTTGTTTATTATGAGGCTACACAGCCGCTGAACGCCAAGGCCACGCTTACGGTTGGTGTTGTTGATACCTAGTGGATATAGTTCATGTTGTGTTAAAGAAAATTATACAAAGTCACAGGTGTTGAGTTTCTAAATTAAAACAACATTGTTGAAGGGTCAGTCTGTGAATTTTGATGTTACGTTCATACCACATGACGGAATTGCTTTCTAAAGTTGAAATTTAGTACAAGTTTATGTTGCTATGTGGCGTAGATTGTGTGTAGATTGTTAGTGAACCGTAATCTCTTGCTTTTGTACGCAACTTCTAAGATTTTATAGGGCCAGTGTGGGCCTAGGCCCACACTGAAAAAAAAAAAATATATTATCTTATATACCCTACTTAAAAAAATAGTTTAATGCTAAATTAGTAAAAAAAAAAAAAACAATGGGAACAAATAAGAGAAAAAAAAAGGATAATGAGAAAAAAAAAAAACAATGTTCTTGTTTATTTTGGTGAAAGTAAATCTAATCCCTTTTTTAGTAGAT